TCTGCCTGCATGATGCCGACGACGTGCTGATTCAGCTTGGACTGGAGGACCCCGACCTGTTTCTGGGTGAGGGGGGCGAACACACCTCCCTCCGCATGCTCTTGTTGGCAAACACAAACCGATGAGTTACGCATTGCTGCTCATGTCTGCCCCCGGTGGCCAATGCGCATGCAGGCATGCAACTGCCCCACATCCTTACCTCCATGGTGTTCCTGGCGCTGCCAGGCGCCATTGCCTGGGGCGTGGACACGCTATGGCGCGCCACGCTGCCAAAGCCCAGCCAGCAGCCTACACAGCTGCTGTCCGTTTTTGCTGCTGCCCTGGAGGGCAGTGCAGGCACGGGCGGCGGCGCAAACGAGGCTGGCAGCCTGGCCAAGCCAGTCCAGAAGCCAGCCCAGCTGCTGCGGCCATTCACTGAGCTTGCCTATGGTGCCTGGTGCTGCGGGTGCTTAGCCGTGTCCACGTGGTCGGTTTCTCGAGGCATGGTCCCAAGCCAGGTAACTCACCTCAGCCCCAGCCCCTACCCTGCAGGATACCTGCCACTGGTGTGGGCCGGAACGCTAGCATACTACGAAGATGCCTTGTTCGAAGAGGCCGGCCTCATCCTGCCTGTTGCTGCCACCACATTCGGCCTCGACATGCCCTGGCTTCCTACCTTTGTGGTCGCACCGGTGGTGACAGGCAAGCAAGCGTGGCCCATCGGTGTGTCACATGTTGGCAAGTAGGATCGGCCCCTGCTGTGTGCCACCTTTTCGCAGAGGATTCTGACTGCCTTCTGCCCCGCTCGCTGCGCTTCCTTCCCACAGAGTTTTTGCAGGGCAGCACCCTTCTGTTCGGTTGTGTGCTCAGCCTGGCGCTGACGCGCAAGCTGGGGGCGCGGCCATGGAGCCAGCTGGTGCCCCAGTGTGCTCTGATCGGCCTTTTTACGGCGGAGTTGTACCATCTCATTATACCAAACTGAGCACGCCCCACTCTCCCGCCTCTCACCCCGGCTGCTCCGCCTGCCCTCGCATCCCCGTTGGCCCCCGTCTCTTTCCTGGACCCCTCCTCTCCACCTCTTCTCCTGTCCCGACCCTTCAGAGCAGCCCTTTTTCCTTCCTATTTGAACACAGATTTCTGCCAGCATCGCATTGGAACGGTCTTCTTTGAATTGCTGTGGATGAGAGATGAGGCGATTGCGCATTGCACTATGTTATCAATTGAGTAGAGAGACAGAGTAAATGCGGCGAGCAATAGCATTACGTGCACGCCGCCTCAAGCCAGCGGCTTGCACAGGTGGGGCAGCGCCTCAAACAGGCAAAAGCCGAGGCGGGAGTCGGAGACCATGCTGACCCAGCGCTGTTCGTTGATGAACTGGCCGTCCATGGCCTCGGGCGCATGTGCATGCCACTGCGCGTGGTCATGCTGTGCGCCAAAGATCACCTGCACCAAACCCATCACACCACAGTTGACAGTGTCAGGTCACAGCGACTGTCGCGTAGCTGGAGCAGGCATACTGCGTGCAGGCAGGGGGCAAAACCGGGGCCAAGCAGGAGTGGGAGGCCGGGGGCCACAAGCCTGCCCGCCACACCCACCCGCAGCGCGGCAACATAGTCGAAAGCGTCCTTGCGCGTGATGGGCTCGTTCTTGTTGCGCCACTGCATCACGCGGTATGCGGCGTGCAGCCGCTCCACCATCGGCGCATCGCTGCACAGGGGGCAGCAGTGCGTACAGTCACCTCAGCAGTGACCTTGGCAAACAGGAGCGTTTCGACTCCACCACTGCATGGAAAAGCATGGACAGCGTGCTCACCAGAGGGCCAGCAAGCACATGATGAGCAGGGCCAGGTCGACGTAGCCGCTGCGCTTGGTGTCCAGCAGCACCAGCACCTGGGCACGCAGGATGCCAACAACGAAGGGGGTGCACACATTGGAACAGTGCCATGGCAGTCTGTAGGCAGGTAACAGGTGCGCTAACCCAGCAAGCGGAGGCACATCTGCCTGGCACTTGCCCGTCACATGCCACTGAACAACCGCAAGTCCTCTTCACCTGGCTGTTGATGGTGCGCATCATGTGCTGGAAGAGGCCGGGGGGGGTGCTCTGCAGCACCCGCCGGGTCAGTGCCTCCGCCTTGGCCGCCTTGATCATCTTGCCCTGCAGCATGGCGTGGGTAGGTGAAGCAAGCGAGGAGATGCATGCGAACAGACATGAGCAGCCGACCCCACCTAGACCAAACTGCATGCCACATGCCTTCCAAATGCCCGCCTTGCTGATCGCGCACTCACCCGCTTGCCGCGTGAAGTGTTGCCGTCGTTGGCCTCCGCCTCCAAATCCCGCACCCGCGCCCCTGCCATGGGCTGCAACTGCTGCAGCATTGGCAGGTCCACCTCGCGGCTGGCCTGCAGGCGGGCATGACGAAACGTGAGAGGAATGGGAAGGAGCAGAGCCAGGTCACCTTGCTGCGCAAAAAGTCATGATGTCATTCCTTGCCTACGCCATAGGCATTACTACGTAACCCTACGCACCCACCGACAACACCCCACATGCCCCACCTCTGAGATGTTCACGCCCAGGCGCTTCAGCTTGTTATTGCCCTTCTTGCCCGGGCTGCCTGCCATGGAAGACTGCAGTGGGTGGGAACCCCAGGCAGGAATAAACTCCAAGAAGCATTGTGGCATGCCACGCTGGCATCTTCATGCAGGAAAATGGGTCAAGCCCGCAGGACGCCACCCCCCACACGCACCTTGTTTGACTTGCCCCCCAGCATGCTGAACACGGGCTTGGACTGCGGAGTCGCCTCCGCGTTGCCAGCCGCAATGTCCGCGGCCAGGCTCTCTACCTGTGCCGCCTTGTCGCTGATGTAACTCATCATCTGGCTGATCACCTCCCAATTGGCCCCTGCCTTGAGCATGCGCTTCAGCTGGTCCACCTCCTGGGCCAGGACGCCGCTCTGGCCTGCAGCGGAACCGGGCATGTGAGTGCATAAAGATGAAAAGCTGGAGGGGCATGGGAGGGTATGTGGGGCCCTAGAGCAGGGCTCCGGCAGCAGCGCGCAATCTGCCTTATTGAACCTTTGAAGTCAAACATGGATCCTGTGGTGGTTCTGTCCAACGCACCTGAAAGTTTGAGCGCCAGCTTGAGGTTAAAGGTCGCCTGATCCTTGTCACTGGTGCACGTCTGCGGAAAATGCCAGAGCGGACTCTCAGGCCAGCCTGTCCCCAGCACAGGCAGCCTTGCCCCATTTCAAAGGCTGCGTGTGCTGCATGCCACATCCCAACTAGCCATCCCCCAGTGGCCACCTCACCTGCACCACCGCCTTGTTCAGCAGGGAGCGCCAGTGTGAGGCATCAATGGCCAGCACATTGTCATAACTACAGAGGCAAAGAGGGCGGGGAGTGCACACGGCGTGGTTGGTTGGTGTGCATTGCGTGGGCCGAAGCTGTCAGCGACATGCACCATGCTGGGCCATTGTTGCAGGGTACAAGGCCTCACAGACCTCTGGATGGCGCGGCCAAACTCGGCACACTGGCGGTACAGGTTGCCCATGTTGAAGTGGGCCTCCAAATGCTGCGGTGCGCACTTGATGGCATGCTTGAAGCACTTCTTGGCATTCTCCATGTCGCCCTGCACCGGCACAAGGAGATGCACTGAGCCAATTTGTTGTAACAAAATGATGATGCATGCACACACTGCAATGTGCGGCCAAGGGCGCTTCCTGCTGGTGCGTGCCACCAACCTGAGCGCAATAGGTGCATCCCAAGTCACAGTGAGCATCGGCATAGTCCGGCTTCAGTCTGCACCACAGCAACAGCGCGTTCAGGTGAGGTGGTTGCCAGCTACTAGCAGGCAGAGAATCTGTGCCCGGCCTGCGGCTCTCTGCTCACTTGAGCGATTCTTTAAGCGCCGCCTTGGCGCCTTCAAAGTCTCCCAAGGCATACAGTGCGCTGCCCATGAGTTTGTAAGCGCGGAAGTGGTCGGGGTTGAGCGCCACCGCTTGCCTGCAGAGGGTCCCAGCCACCATGGCTCAAGGAAGGGCAGTGCCAAGAATACCAGCCACAGCCTCGCAACCAGCTCCCTGTGCCCTGCCCTCACTTGTAGTGGTCGCAGGCGCTCATGAGCAGGCCCTCTGCCTCTTGCGTGATGCCCAGGTTGACGTACACCTTGGGCTGCAACGCCTCATCAGCATCCACACCAGGCTTGCAGCACTTCAGCGCGCGTCCATATGCCTGCGGGAGCAGTGAAGAGGGGTCAGCACAAGCCAGGTAATGGCACGGCTACACAACACCAGGCAGTGAGGTATACTTCATCCCCTGATCACACTGGGCCCCCTCACACACACACACCTTGCGAGCCTCGGCATACTTCTTCAGTGCAAATAGCGTGTTGCCAATGCGGAAGTGAGCCAGCGGGTCGCCTGCCTGCACCCGCACTGCCGCCTGGAAGCTGTACATGGCCTCCCGATACCTGCATGATGGGCAGCAAGGCAAAACAGGTAAAGCTGCGGAATGATACCAGCTTCGACAGGCGTGGCCGGCAATCTCGTGAGCTCATTGGCGCTGAGCAGGTCACCTCTGCTTGGAGCCCAGCCTGAAGCCCATCTCCATGTGAGCCTTGTACGCGGCCCAGTCGGGCATGCTGCTGGCCTCGCGTTGCACCCCCAGGATGTCAGTGGTAGCGTTGACCGAGGCTGCAGATGCGGCACGAGGGAGGCGGCAGGTGGCAAAATATGTTGGTGCTCGTCTTGTCAGGTGAGGCTTCAGATGTGAGCTATTGTTGCCACAATTAGGCGTGCACAGCAGCGAATTCACCTGGAGCAGCCAGCGTTGTCTCAAGCTGCTCCAGCAGCACCTGGACATGCGCATCCTGCAGCCAATTAAGAGCCACCAGGCATCAAGCGGTGCAGGGTGAGGGGCATGAATGTCTATAGGAGCAGCCTGCTGGTGACAGAACGGTACTGGCTTAAGTCGGAATAAGCTGCTAGTACGCGACAACAACTCTCCATCCAAGCTACCCACAATTTCCTCAGTCGTCTTGCCGGACCAGTCGATCTTTGGCAATTGCTCCTCCAGGCCTCCTGGCGGCATCTGGTCAAACTGGTAGTCATCAAAGCCAGCACCCTCTTCCATCAGCGGTAGTGCGCTAAGGGCTGCCGCTGCCGCTTCCGACTTGCTAGGGCTGTCTGACACATTGTGTTGAGCTGCAGGAGCAGCAACGCCGCTGGTAGCACTTGGTCTGGCCATACCGGGAGTGGGCACAGCAGATGCTGACCTCTGCGGGGCAGCTGCCTGCTGGCGGAAGGCAAAGGACACCTCTGGCTCTCCCTGGGCAAGCGAGGTCACAGCGGCTGCCGGCAGGGGATCATCCTGCAAGCAGTATGAGGTGCACAAGCATACGGCACAATCTTATGGAGTTTACCAGGTTAAGTGCACCACTTGACAGCGCCAGAACCCACCTTGGCCTGCACCTGGCTGCTGTCCCCCGTCGCTGCGCCTGCCGCCATAAAGCCTGCCAAGTCCACGGCATCTGCTCCAGCAGCAGCAGCGACCGACGGCTGCTGGGGCCGGGAGGCAGCAGTGGAATGCGGGGTGGGGCCTGCCACCGCCCCCGATGCCAGCGTCTGGTGCTCCTTGGCGGTGTAGAAGTTGTCCGACAGCTGGGACTGGACGCCAGGGGTGCTGAATGGTGCTGCCGCCGAGGCTGCTGCACCCAGGGCAGACACCGGCACCATGGGGTGTGCGGGCTCTGCAACTAGCGCTGCAGGCTGCTGGGTGGGAAGCAGGCCAGGGGTGTGCTGAGACACGCCTGCCATCTTGCCTGGCATGCTATCCCCACCCAGGAGTACAGGAGACTCCAGGGTGGGGGCATGGCCTGCCATAGCGGCAGCCATTTCGGGGCTGGGCAGCCCTGCCTCCAGCGCGGCAGCATCCATGCGCGATGCCAGGTTCAGGGCGCCAAACTGCAGGCGCAATTAAAAAAAAACTCAACTTGTGAACGAGTGCGTGAATGCCGCAAATCACGAGTGTCACACAGGCAACTCAAGGGTGCACAATGCAGGTCCAAGTTCACCAAGATCCCACTTGGTTCCAGCAGCCCAGCGCACCTCCTCAGTCAGCACTGGATTTTGCAGCTCCAGCCAGGCCTGCTGCTGCTGGCCAAAAGCAGGACTGCCGGCCAGTGCCGCAGCTCCTGGCGACACAAGGACGGCCGCCCCGCCCGCCACAGCCAGTGCTGCCTGCGCTTCTGCCTCCTCTGCCACGTGCTGCTGCTTGGCCTTTGTGCTGAACATCCGAGTGAACAGGCTGCTGCCCGACTTCTTCCGGCTCAGCGGCGTCGTGGCAGGGCTGCCATCTGCTGGCGAGGGAGCTGCCGAGCCGGATGCAGAGGCCATAGTGGCCCGATCACCCAGGGCTCCTGCTGCCACGCCACCAATTACGGCCGCAGTGGCTGCAGCCGCTGGTGCCACGCTTCCGCCAATGTCTGCAGGGGGCATGTGGCAACACAGGCGAGTTCTATGGCCTGATACTTTGAAAGGCCCATGTGATCGCTGGAGACTGCTCCCAGCTGCCAGCCAATACAAACTGCTGGGAGAATCACGTTTCACGACAACAAACCAACCTTGGTTAGCATGAGGCATCTGTGCAGGGGCAGGATTGGCTGCTTTAGCACGCTGTGGCATAGTAAACTCCTCGGCGCAGCGGCTTTGCTGCAGCACCATTGAGGTAGTGGCAGCAACAGCAGCTCCTGCAGCCGCTGCCGAGGTCTGGCCAATAGCCACCTGCTTGGCAGCCGCTGCGGCTGCTTCGACCTCTGCTGCTGCCTTGGCATCAGCTGCCTGCTTAGCGACACCTGCGGCCTCTCCTGCCCTGGCAGCAGAGGCTGCTGCCACTTTGCTGCCCGAGGCCACGGCCACCTCGCTTGCAGCCTCTGCGGCAGCTGCCGCCTCACGGGCAGCAATACCTGCCTCAGCAGCATCCGCGGCATCTACCGTCGCTTTTGCTGCAAATGATGCCCTGGATGCAGCATCAGCAGCCACGGCCTCTGCTGCCTGCAGCACCGCTGCGGCCTCCTTGGCTGCTTCAGCAGCACTGGCAGCCTTGGCTGCTGCTTCTGTCGCAGTTGGCAGGCTGCTTGCTGCGGCCGCCTGTTGGGCAATTGCTGCCTGCTTAGCGGCGTCTAAGGCTGCTGCATTGGCAATGGTTCCATCATGTGCAGCTGCTGCTGCCAGAGCGGCGCTGGAGGCCGCTGCTGCCGCAATCAGCGCCGCCTCGCATTGCGCAGCAGCGGCTGTCGCCTTCTCAGCAGTTGCGGCGGCAGCGGCAGCTGCTTCTGCTGCCTGCTGGGCTTCCACCGTGCCGGACCGGCGAGCTGCCTGAGCCGCCTCCCGAGCAGCGTTCTTGGCTGCCTCCGCCGCCGCTGCTGCAGTGCAAACTGAGTCTGCTGCTAATGCCTCCTGTGCTGCTCTCGCGGCAGCAGAAGAAGCCACAGTGGCGGCAGCTGCGGCCGCCGCCTTGGCCGCCACCTCCTCCTGAGCAGCACGAGCAGCAGATACCGGCCGCGAAGACAAACCTGCACACAACGACACATGTAACCGAGCAAAAAGTCCAGTTGCCTGCGTTGTGGCTGGTGCGAATTATGGATGCAGCAACAAAACAGGGACAGATGCCAGACCGCCCACCTAGAGCCATTGCCGCCGCATCAGCTGCATCCACCAACTGCACAGCCTCCTCAGCTGCCTGCTCCGCTGCTGCCAGCTCGGTTGCCGACTTGGTGGCGGCAACCAGCTGACAAGCGCGTTCGGCAGCATCGAGTGCAGCCGCCTGGTCTGCAATCATTGTAGCTGCCTTCTGTGCGGCTGCTGCCAGCTCGCTGGCCTTGGCAGCAGCTGCGGCAGCCTCAGCGGTGCCGGCACACTCCGCGGCCTGCTTGGCGGTTGCAGCTGCAGCGATTGCTGCCTTGGCTGTAGTAGCCGCAGCTGCAGCATCTGTAGCAGCCATCACTGCTGCCACCGCCTGATCGGCAGCGGCAACAGAGTCCGCCGCATCTTGTTGGGCTGCAGTCTTGACTGCTGCGCCTTGCTGCGCAGTCATGGCCGCTTCTGCTGCCCTGCCAGCAGCCTCAGTGGCAGCAGCTGTGCCTGCGCGCCCTGCTGCCTGTTGTGCAGCAACAGCAGCGGCTGCTGCAGCCTCCGCCGCCGCCGCTGCTGCTGGCAGATGTATGGAGGTGGCCACGTCCGTCATTGCCACCTCGGCTGCAATGGCAGCTGCCAGTGCTTCCTGCTCTGCAGTTTCCTTGACAGCGAATGCCTGCCGCACCTCTGCCAAATGCTGAACAGCATTAGTTGCGGCGGAACTGGCCGCCAGGGTGCCAGCCCGCTTCGCAGCGTGCTCTGCAGCGTGAGCAGCTGCTGCTGCTGCTGCAACGGCCTGAGTGGCTGCTGCCATGTCGATGGCAGCAACAATGCTAGCAGCCGCGGTCCCTGCCTGATTTGCAGCTGCAGCCGCCTCGTCTTCTGCTGCTGCCATGGCTGCGACGGCCTGCTGCGCTCTCTCCGCCTGCTCAGCTGCTTTGCGGGAGGCTGCGACTGCAGCTGCTGTACCAGCAGTCTTGGCAGCCGTGCTGGCAGTAGCCGCCGCTGCGGATGCAGTGCTAGCGGCATGTACTGCTGTGGCAACATCTGCAGCTTCAAAGATGGAAGCGACTGCCTGCTCTGCCTCTGCTGCCGCATCCGTGGCTCGCTGCTCAGCGACAACCATTGTTGCTGCTGCAGAGGCGACAGCTGTAGCTTGTTGCATCAAATCGGTCGCTGCCGCAATGGCAGCTGGCAGACCTGCACAGCACAGGGGCATGGCCGCTGTTAGGTAGGGGAGGGAGCACGAGCTGGCTCAAGTTCTCAGCTCTCCCATCACCTGAATCTACCGCCTTGTCCTTTGCAGCCATGGCTGCAGAGACAGCCTCCTGTGCTGCTGCGGCTGCAGCTGCACTACTATCCGCCGCACTGGATGTTGCTATCAGCTCAGCCACCCGCTGGGCAGCCCTGCCGGTGGCAGAGATGGCTGCAACAGCTGCTGCTGCGCGCTCAGCCGCCTGCGCTGCGTTGGAGGCTGCCTGGGATGCGCTGCTGGTGCCTGCCTGCATGGCTGCAACCTGGGCAGCATCTGCTGCAGAAGACGCTGCATCTGCTGCCTTCAGCACGGCCACGCCATCAGGAGCTGATGCCAAACCCGCTGCTGCCTGTTCCGCCGCCTCGGCCGCTGCTGCTGCTGTCTCCTCTGCGCCGGCCTTGCTGTTGGCCGCTGCCTGCGCTGCCACAGCTGCGCTGGCAGCTGCGGCTGCCGCCATCAGAGCTGCTGGCAGGCCAGAGGCGGCGGCAGCTTCCTCTGCCACTTTAGCAGCAATGGCAGCGGATGCTGCAGCCTTGGACGCAGACAGGATGTCAGTGCTGGCATTTGCTGTCTCTGCTGCTGTCTCTGCTTCGGCAGCAGCATCAGCTGCTGCCAGCCAGGATGTGACGGCAGCAGCAGCATGCTCAGCCTCAACTGCTGCTGCTTCTGCCCGGCTAGCAGCATCAGCAGCTGCCACAGTGCCGGCCTTACTGGCAGCCTCCTTCGCAGCCTCTGCAGATGTAGCGGCGGCTGTTGCTGCTCTTGCTGCACACTCAGCATCGCTGGCTCCGTGGGCGTTTGCCAAAGCAGCCTTCACGGCTTCTTCTGCTGCTACAGTCTGCTGCTCTGCCAGAGCCTTGGCAGCGGCAACGTCCTGTGCTGTCGCTGCTGCCACAGCTGCCGCAGCTGCAATATGAGTGGCTGCTGCCAAGCCTGCAAGCAAGGAACATGGGGCACATTAGGCAGGCATTCATCGCCTCCCCAAGCAGCAAAGCATACCCGGCCCCCCTGCAATGGCGTGGTGTACGGCGAAGACCCACCAGATGCTGCTGCCTCCTCCTCGGCCTGCTTGGCAGCCGCCAGTGTATGCGTTACCAGCACAGCAGCCGTTGCCATGTCATCAGCCTGCTGCACCTGCTCCAGAAGGCGAGCAGCCATTTCAGCTGCCAGTGCAGCGGCTGCACAGTGCTCGACAGAAGCCACGGCCTGCCTGGCAAAATGCACGGCCTCAGCTGCTTTGCCGGCGGCCTGAGCGGCTGACTGAGTACCCGCCGCCTCTGCCGCCTTGCTGGCAGCCTCAGATGCTGCCAGTGCTGAGTCGAGGGCACCTGCTGCGGCGGCCACGTCGTTAGCAGCACCTGCGCTGGCAGCTGCCTGCTGGGCTGCAAGCAGCCCATCAGAGGCTGCCTGTTCCGCAGCTGCCCTCATGCTCACTCCCTCGGCTAGCCCCTGTGCCTGCTTGGCCGCTAAGCCAGCTTCCTCTGCGCGTTCTGCAAGAAGCCCTGCCTCTAATGCAGCACCCTCAGCCACCATGGCTGTGTTCAGGGCTTCCTCTGCTGCCCGCTGTGCTGTGTCCAGGTCGTTGGCAGTTGCTGCCATCGCAGCAAGCGCAGCAGCCCGCTCAACTGCGCTGGCAGCAGCAGCACAGGCGGCAACGGCGGCTGCAGCTTTCTGAGCCGCGCTGGCCAGCTCCGCGGCCTTGGCAGCTGCCTGGATGGAACCCAGGGTGCCAGCCTGCTCAACTGCCTGCTGTGCCTTGCCGGCAGCAGTTGCTGCTGCATCTGCCGCGGCAGAAGCACCTTGCGGTGTTGCTGCACTGGTGGCCTGCTGCAGTGAAGTCATGGCTGCTTCAACAGCTTCGGAAACAGTCTTGTCCGCTAGCTGTCTAGCAGTTGCACGCTCCAGAACAGTTGCAGCCTGCGTCAATGTGCCCGCCGCCGCCTCCACAGCAGCGGCAGCCAAAGCTGCAGCGGGAGACCCAGGAAGGGCAGGTAACATCAGCTAGGAGCAAGCGCCCAAGCCAGAACAGAATCATACGCATGCCGCTGCCACTTACATGATTCTGCCGCAGCATTCTCGGCTGCCTTGGCCGCCTCCAGAGCCTCGGCAGCTGCCTTCCATGCCAACCCCAGCTCGTCAGATGTGGAGGCAGATGCAACCAGTTCAGAAGCGTGCTGAACCGCGCTGCTGGCAGCAGCGCATAAGCTGATGGCTGCAGATGCTCTCATGGATGTTTCAGCGCTGGCAGCAGCCTGGGCCGCTGCTTCTGCCGCGAAGGCCGTGCCTGCCAGCGCCGCCGCTTCCTTGGCCGCTTCTGCAGCAACTGCCGCTGCCGCCGCCGCCACTGCAGCAGAAGCCACATCCGAGGCTGCCCGTGCCTCTTCTGCTGCAGTGGACGCTGCATCCAGCTTGGAGAGTGCCAGGGACTCGCTTGCTGCCATCTTTTCAGCGGCCCCCTGTGCTGCTACCGCCTCATTGACAGCCTGCTCTGCTGCCTCCATTGCAGCCTCGCTGCCACTCTTAGCTGCTGCCTCTGTGGCTTCCGCGCTGGCTGATGCCGCCTCTGCTGCCGCAGCTGTTGCGGCAGTCGCAGAGGGAGCCCGGCTGATCATGCTCACTGCGTGCAACGCCCGCGCAGTGGCTTCCGTGGCACGGGTCATTGCTGCCTCTCTGTCTGCACTGTTGGCCGCTGCCTCCGGTTCTGTCTCTGCATCTGCCACCCTGGTACTGCGCACGGCATGCTGCGCTGCTGTGAACTTTTCCACCAGCCTGACCAATGATGCTCCAGAAGCGGCAACCGACTCAGCAGAGTCCTCCTCCACTTCTGCACCAGCTGCAGATGTCTCGTGCAGAAGCACGCTGTCTGAAGAGCCAGCGGCGCCAGAGTAAATGCTGGTGGTGGTTGGCGTTGCCGAAATGGAGACTAGGGTAACCAATCCAAACACTGATGGAGTGAACACCTGCAATGCACCAGCACCCTTCCTGGATGAGTAGCAGGCAAAGCAGTAGATCGCGAGAGGAACAAGCTGCCATCGTGTTGGATGCCACGCTGGGCATCTCCATGCAGAAGTGGATGCCTATTGAGGGTGAGAGTGTCAGCAGCAGAACCGTGCCTGTTTGGCGTCGTTCCGCAGGACAGATGCCATGTACTGTGCCTCCTCTGCGGCGGTGCTGCTGCCGCGCGGCAGCGAGGCAGCCACTGTGACGATCAGAGAGCCATCGGCAGCAGGGGCGGCGCTGGTAAGCTCCGCAGCGCTACCCTCTGCAGACAAGGGAGACAAGCACAGACTGTAGAAGGGCCAGAGCGCTGCACCATGCAGCTGAAAGTAGAAAAGTGAAGGCCTGCACGAATGTGCACACGCAGTTAAGTGCAAACACATGGCTGCTAGTCAACATGCACAGTCTGCTTTCTCACCAGGAAGTGCCCGCTCGAATGCGTGCAAAAGCGCCAGCTGCTGCTGCTCCTCCCAACCACCCTCGCGGTGGAAGCTGTCCGTTGGCACCCGGAGGGTAAAGTTGAGCGGGGAGGCAGTAGCAGCAGCACCCGCCACAAGCGTCCCCAGCGACACAGCGCTGTTGCCAGGGGAAGCGGCAGCAGCGACGGGACTGCTTGGTGCCGCATCGGCACCAGCAACACAGCCAATTGCACCAGACGGGCCAGGCTTGGTGATGGTGACGGGACTGGTGCTAAAGCCAGCATAGCTTTCTGTGACTGTACAGGGGACCAACCAACAAGCAAGTTCAGTGAGCAGGTTGCATGGGATCTGTTAGCGCTCATGATGATGTTTCTTGCATCATCATGAGCGAGCCTGGGCGAGCAGCGCACCTGACACTGACCCCTCCGCCAGACCATTCACATCGAGGCGGAAGCCGGGACGCCGCGCCACGCCACCGCCTGCAGCTGCAGCAGAGGGCGTGCCGCCCAGCGACAAAGCCTCCCGATCCTCCTCATCTGCTGCTGTGCTGCCTGTTGCTACCACTGCAGCAGCAGCAATGCCGCCCGCAGCAGCGAGGGCCAAAGCATCGGCAGCGGCCTCAATGGCATGACTGCCACGCGCCGGAGTCTGCAGGAAGTCGAACGCATCCGACTCCCGGCGGCTAAGCCTGCCCCGGACGGAAGGCGCTGCGCTGCCAGGAGCCTGCCACTCCCGCTGCTGGGTGCCTGCTGCAGCCAAGGCTGCGGTATTAATCAGTGGTATGCCCTCAGGCCGGCCAAATGTGGCACTCCCTCCTGCTGCCGCCGCTGCTGCTGGTGTCGAGAGACTGTCAAACACGTCGCTTGTGGCGGTCATTGGGGTGATGGGCATGCTGCTGCCACCAACAGCGGCGCCTGCTTCTGCCGCTTGCCGAGCCTTGGTGTTGATGCCATGCAGCGCCTGTGCATGGGAACAACTCAATGAGCTGCACAGCTGACAATCTTGCGAAACAGGGCTGCACGACATGCATGGGCTGGCAAGCCGACAACCCCAGTCCTGTATGAGCAGCTCACTTGCGGGGGCCCAAACAGCGCTGCCTCGGTGCGCGGCGTGGCCAGGAAGTCGAACACATCGGAGCGTGCCGTCATGGGTGGCGAGCCATGTAAGCCCTCGGGACAGGCCCCTGCGGCGCCTGCATCCAGCGCCCGGTGGCTCTTGATTGTGCCGTCCTCGCTGCCCGCAGGGTCAGCGCCTACATCGATGGCGCTGTCGGCCACGAGGCCTGCCATAGTGCCAGGCGCACGCAGGTCATCAAACACATCCCGGGGCGTGACGGCTCCTGCCTTGGCAGGTGTGCAGCTAGCCTGCAGGAAGGCGGGGTTAAGGTGCAAAGTCATGAGGGCGCTGATCCACCAAGGATACAGCGATTGCTCGACAAGACCAGGCCATGATGCTACGGTGCCCAGGGCTATTCCATGTTGTGGCTCAAGCCTGCAAAGGCCCGATCGATCTTTGCTGGCAGCGCAGGAAGGTTACTCACCCCTTCTGTCTCCATCCTCTGTCCTTTGGTCGCAGACCCCTCTAGCTGCACCGCCGCAGCTGCTGTAGCAGCAGCCGTCTCATCCGCGGCCTGCTGTACCAGCAGCTGATAATCGTGTTCTGGGTCGCCTAACCCCTGCATGTAGGTACAGGAAGAGGCATGGGGAATGAGCAGGAACACGGGACAGCCACGCAGCGCTGGGAGCTTGTGCGCAGCCCCGCGCACCTCGGCATACAGCTGCTGCAGGCCGTCGAAGGTCAGGCCCTGCTGCTTGACATGCGCGGGGAATGCCGCCCATACCTGCACATCGGCAACAGGGGAGGGGACGGCGTGACCAAAAATGATGATGGTGGCAGCAAAATGCACCATTGAGCCAGCCAGCTTTTGTTGCAGTATAACATGAAACACAGAGCTGCGCATGTCATACAGGGCTGCGCATGTTGCAAGTAGTCTTGGCTTTCACGAGGCGGGCGTGGCAGCGCCAAACACGCACCTCCTCCACGATGAGCCCCAGCGCTGCCTCGCCCAGCGGCACCTCGGGGTTGACCATCTGGATCAGCCAGGCCACCTCGGTCTGCGCACATGTTGGGCGGGAGGGGGCAAATGGGGCCAGTTTGTTTGGCCAGTGCCGTGAGGCGCCAGCAGCTGGGCACAGGTGGGCGCAGCATGTGGGCGGTTGGCTGCGCCCTGCTCGGAAGAGCCTCGCTGCTCCCCAAATATGGTGCACCGAAGCTGGCTGAAGCGTCCAGCAGCCACAGCCTCAAGAAACGCACCTCATCCAAGCCGCCGTCACGGTTCCTGTCTCCCGCCGCGAAGATATGCTGCAGCCGGGCGGCCTCCATCGGCCTGCGCGGCCTGGGCACCTGTGCAGCACTCTCCAGGCGTTGGCGATACCAGCTGCAAACCGAGCGCGCCTTGCTGTTGCTGGTTTGATTGCTCCTGTGGCTCTGCTTGTCTGTTACCCGTGTGTGATCACAGCCAGCGTCGAGGCCGGCCAGTTTCAAAGCCTGGGCCTGTCCTGCCTGTCCTGCTGCGCTGCGCAGCGGTGAAGAACAACAACGAAATGCGCTGCCTCAAACAACCGGAAGCCGGCAAACGGCCACACGCCCCAGCGCTGCCAACTAGCCCGATGGATTTCAGCTTTGTGGACGAAACCTCAGAGCTGCAGCGCAGGCCGCACCAGCAGCCCGCGCCCGGCTGTGGCTCGCAGGCGGCGGGCGACGGCATCAGCAGCGGCGGGGCCCTGGGAGCGCAGCCCGCCGCCGCAGTTGCCACCCTTGCTGCAGCAGGCAGCATTGCCATCCCCTCCTTCCGGGAGGTGCAGCGCGCAGAGAGGCAGCGGGCCGTGCTGCCGAACTTCTTCAGGCCTAGTGGCAGTGCCACGTCCGCTGTGGCCGCTGGCACCGCCATCGGGGCTGGCAGGTGTGCTGCTGGGCCCGACTGGCTGGCCTGCCCTTATAGTTTACTCTTCAGGCTGGCGCCATGGATGACACTGCAGCATGCGGGCACTTGTCATGGCATCGTCATGGAATGCTGCTCAGCACACCCCTTGTTGCGCCAGCGTGCTTGCAGAGGAGCGGAACAGCAGCAGCAGCAACAACGACAGCAAGACAACCCTTCCCCAGTCATCAGTGCCAGCAACCTCGCAGGCGGGGTCTGGGCAGCGCCAGGTATACCGTCTCACCAGCAACAACATGCTCAAAACCCTGGGCAGGGCGGTTCCACACCGCAGGGCACCATGCACTACCCGCAGCAGCAACAACAGTACCAGCATCGAGCGCTAGGCCCGCCTGCACGGAACATGCAGCTGCCAGTGTACCGGTCAGAGCAGCATCAACGACAGCATCAACAACAATCATGCCCCACATTCCAGCAGCCTTTACCAATACTCAAGCAACAGCAGCAACAACAGCAGTTTCCCACCAATGCCATCATTGTGAGCACTCGACAGGAGGGCAATCCCGTGCTGAAGTACATAAGGTAGGCCGGCTGCTGAATCGCACCTCTTCTACTTCCCTTGCGTTTTCAGCTGCGGCAGTTGCACCCTGAGAGCTGCAGAGCTGTCCCCTTCCCACAAGCTTCCACAGGAATGTCCGATGGCAGTTTGGCGACATTGTGCCCGACTTCCTACTTGGGCGCGAAACCGCTTGCCTCTTTCTCAGCCTCAGGTTGGTGGCATGTGGGCCGAGGTGTTGTGCTGGCAGACGAGGCCAGCAGCTTGAAGGATCAATGGGTGGTGGGTGGGTGCGCAAATCTGTTGGAACATGAAGGGTGAGGCTGCTGGATTGTGTGTCATGACGATACAACATTTCCTGTTGTGCACTAATCTGTCATGCATGAGGACGGATCGATTTTTATTCTGCCTTGGCGCCGCAGGTTCCACCTACTGAAGCCAGAGTACATCTACCACCGCATCAAGGAGCTCCAGCGCTCCTACCGCCTTAGCATCATCATGTGCCACGTGGACACAGAAGACGCAGTAGAGCCACTGGCGCAGGTTTGCAAGCATGGGTGGGGTTGGCGCATGATGGACAGGAACAGAGGGAAAGTTGAACCCCCTTTCCAGTCTACGTGTGTGGACTCTCCAGCGCCCCGCTGGTTTGCAGTTGCTTGTATAGAGCCTGCTTATGGAAATTCCAGCAAGGCGCCACACTGCTAAGGTGCCTCTTATGAGTGATGCCTGTTCGGCATGCTGGCTGACCGCCTTGCAGGTGACTCGGGCAGCCATCGGCAACGATTGCACCCTGGTGTGTGGGTGGAGCAACCAAGAGTGCGCGCGGTACCTGGAAACCTTCAAGAGGTGATGTGTGCATTGCCCATGCCTGCTTGTGTGGGAGAAGCGGCCCCCCTGCCAGGAAGGTGGCTGTTGGCCCTCTCCTCTGGCGATCTCGCATTTTGTTCTGCCTGTCATGCTTGCTGGCCTGGTGCTGCATGTGTCACGTTATCTGAAACAAAATTGGTACCGTTTTCGGGTGGCTTTGCATTTTGTGGCGCCCAACCTCAAGTCCCGCCGGTTCCTTGCCTCCTTGCCTCACCTCCTTGCCTCACCTCCCTTATGCAGCTATGAAAACAAGCCAGCAGAGGTGATACAGAAGGATCTGGGCACTGATTACCTGTCTCGCATCAATGCAGCGCTCACAGTTGTGCGGGGTGTGAACAAGACGGACGTCAAGACATTGGGGGACAGGTGCGTGGGCGGGGCAGCGTGTGACAGCGCGGACAGCGCGTGCATGCCTTTTTTGCATGCTGTGGATCTAGGCATTGTGCCCAACCAGCCTTGCTGAGTGAGCTGGTTGTTGTCTGCTTCTTGCTGATGCTTCATCATATCTCCTGGCCCCCACCTTTGCAGATTTGGATCGGTGGCGGTCATCTTCAAGGCATCGGCTGAGGAGCTACAAGCCTGCCCTGGCATTGGACCCACCAAGGCCCGGCGACTGCATGAGACCTTTCACCAGCCATTCCGCCGCTCCATCTCAGCTGCCGCAGCCGCCACACCTACACGAGTTATGGCAATTACTACAGTGGGTGGCTTGGAAAGACAACAACCATTTGAAGGGCGGCAGCAAACGGCATCTATTGTGGCGTACGTGCAAGATGATGGGGAGGAGGCGGCTGCCTTCAGAGAAAGCGATGAAGACTTTATGTAATAGAGGCACAGCTGTTGACAGCGGCAATGCAGTGATGCCGCAGCACGCACCGGCGCGGTGGGCACGGCAAGCAGCGGCGGATCGGCCACCAATACATAAATACGTGCAGCGAGCGGAATGCCTGCGTGATGGGTGTCTGGAATCCCCCTACCTGTCGGCAACGGCAGTCGCAGCGACACCGCAGCATGCTAAAGGTAAAGGTGGGGAAGAGCCTCCACAAGCTTAACTTCCCGGTTTTAACGTCTAGCTTTAGACCATTATTTGATCTGCCCGACGCGCCAAGTGCAGTACCCCCCACTAGTAGTGAATGGGTCCCGGGGAGGCCTGTGCCGAAGCCTTGGCGATTCTGTTAGGCGTTCCCGAAGGAACTGGCTTGGATTGGCGCTGAGCCGGTCAGCTGTGCCGCCTTTGTCCTCACAAAGTTTCGACATGGGAGGAATCGAACCTGTGCCCTCTCGGAGGGTTTAGACACTAGCTCCAGCGCCTTCAAAGAAGGCCTTTCTTAGCCGCGGCCTGCAGGTGGCCACGGCAAGCGGCGGGAAATTGGAACCGTGTATCCTGGGTTGCAGCTGAGGCTGTGGCAGGAGCACAGTACCTCGGTGACCAGGCTGGCCGACAGCTCCAGCACCAGCACATTGAACCTATTCATTGCAGCCAGGAATGTGCAGTTACTGCTGCGTGATGGCATCATGTTTAGCAGCAGCGCTGTGCGGGCACAAAATGCTGGTGCTCTGTGAAAGCAGAGGATGTGCAGGACCAGCGAGGATAGCCGCTGCTGGTGCGGATGCTGCAGCCCGAGTTCCCTTTTGCCGAGGGCTTTCCCTGGCAACTTGCCCCCCAATAGCACCAAGACAACTTAGCAGTGCCGGACAGGCTCGCTGCCATTGAATGCGCTGCCCGGTTCCCAAGCCCATCTGGCGCCGCTGCGGTGGCTGCACTGCTTCGGCCTGGTAACGGCACATGGGAAGGACCCAGTCTGTGTGTTGTGCGCTTGCCGTGGGTGGGTGGTCGATGTGCTAGCCCTTATGTCCTGTCCTGGTCATGGTGCAGGTGTGCCGGTGGCCGGGTGCGCCCCTGGATTGCTTCCTACTGCGTCTTTTGTTCAAGAACAACACTAACTTCAAACAGGAGCCCTTCACCACCGACTTCATCAACAAGCGGCTGCGGTACCACACGGCGGCAGCGCCTGGGGCTGTTTAATGGTGACAGCACGCACGGTCTGCGGCAACGAGCTGGCTGCAGCGGCCCTGCAACGAGAGCTGGCGCGCTGGCACAACCGGGTGTGGTGGCGGCTAACGGCAGCTGTCGAGCGGTACTGTACCCTCCGCGGCGAGAAGCTGGCGGAGCTGGCAAACGCCGACCCGCAGACATTCTTCCTCGGGCACACAAAAGCAAGAGTGCCAACCTGCTGAACAGCCTGCAGCCGGCGGATATCACCAGCCACTACCAGCACCAGTTGGGCCCAGCTTCCCCTGCATCTGCCAGCAAAGCGCCCACCACCTGAGCCGCCACCTGCCGCCCCCACCACCCAGCCCACCACTTCCCCCCGCAGCCACGCTGGTACCTCCATCCTCACCACGCCCCACGCAGCCACCACAGCAGCGCAGCCGGCAGCGGCAGGGGTGAAAGGAAGGTGCCTCCGGCACCCCGCCCCCCCGCTGCCTCGGCGACTGCAGCAGCCCGGCCCACCCCGCCCACCACCCCGCCCACCAGCTCCCTCACCGCGCTCCCCGCCGTCATCGCAGCAGCGCAGCCGGCAGCGGGATGCCTTTTGAGCGTCTATAATGCACCCTATATAGCTCACTTTTCAGCATTGCTGGCCGCGCCCACCCCGTTTTGGGAGCTCCAGGTGCCCCTGAGGGTTTCGACCTAGGGAATCCGATTCTGCGCCCCAAATTATCCCCAAAAGCCTCCTCAGGCCAGAAAATGACACTAGAATAACATTAAACTGCCTGTGCCGCCACCACCACCGCCCACAACCTCGACTCCTGCCATGCCCCAGCCATGCCTCTCCAGGCCCCCACACTTCACCGTCCCCGTCCTCAGACACCCCCTTGGAATAAGTTGCAGTGGCAGCTCAGTGCCAGCCTGCTCCCCAGTATGGCACACCAGCTGCTCCTTCACCGGGCAGCGTGGCGGCGGCAGCTGCGCTGTGGGACCCCTACCATCACCCATGCTGTCATGCTCAGGTCAGGCCCCTCCAGATCCTCCCACCTGCCCTTCCCCATCATTACACATCCCTTGGAGTGCCAGAGGGCCGGCAGGGGCAGCCTGCACACCAGCATGGCACAGGAGCAGCTCCTGCGGTGGCGGCGTGGCGGCAGCAGCGGCGCTGCGGGATCCCCTGCTGCCAGCAATGCTGCCATGCTCAGTCCAGGCCCTTCCAGGCCCTCCCACATGCCCTGATCCCTCATTACACATCCCTTGGAGTGCCACAGGACCGGTGGGGGCAGCTTGCACCCCAGCATGCCACACCTGCTGCTCCTCCACCGGGCAGCGCGGCGGCGGCGGTGGCGCTGCGGGACCCCGTGCAGCCAGCAATGCTGTCATGCTGAGTCAAGGACTTTCCAGACCCTCCCACCTACCCTTCCCCATCATCACACTTTCCTTGAAGTGCCAGTGGCAGGTCAGGTCCAGACAGCACCCCAGCATGCAGTAATGAAGTTGGTCAAAATAGGGGTAAGATTCGATTACCCGATGAGGCAAAAAGGGGGTATCGTTTGCGGTACAAATACCCCCTCCATTTGACCCGCACCATTTGACCCGCATGCCAGTTTTTTAAAAGGGCTTTTGGGGCCTCTCCTGCCTCCCCCTGGGGTTTTAGGGGACGGGGATCACGATTCTGCACTCAAAACTGGCCTGGGAGGCCTCGACATGGGTGCAATTGGCCCCCTTGGGCGGCCTGACAGACACCGCTGGCGCTGCCGTTCCCTCGCTGCGGAACGGTGCTGCCAAGAGGCTCTCAATGCCTCTCCAGGTCGCGTCCTTCTGCATCACAACCCTGCGTGCCTTGCTAGCATCCCTGGGAGTGCGGTGCAAGGTCCACATGCACTGGTTCAGCCCACAACCGTGGGCAGCAGATGCCAGGCTGCAGGCGGTTTCAACAGCAACACAGCGAGACCCCTGCTACCCAGCCGTGCTGCCATGCCCAGGACAGGCCTCCCCAGACCCTCACACCTCATCAGCCTCACCCTCATACATCCCTCTGAGTGCCACTGGGATGCCACAGCCATCCTGCACACCAGCATGCCTGGGTGGCGGCAGCCAGATAGCAGGCTCGGCTGCCCGATCGCCCGGTGGCCACAGCCACATCCCATCTGCATGCTA